ACATTGACTTTGGCCAAAAAATACCAGAGTTTTCTCTTGCCGTTTCAGCGTGGCCTCTTGGACCCCACAGGAATTCATAGCGTGGAGGATCACTGTTCGGCTCCTATCAGTACTCCAGGTCCTTGACCCTCACCAAATCTTTGATGGTGAGCTTCCTGGACTCTGCATAAATGAAGTTGTTCTCCCAACATATACCCAAATCTTACTCAGAACTTCTCAGGTCTTCTCTTCTGTCAGCCTTCATGAAGCTCATGCTCAGGAGTGTCACCAGGAGATGGGTCTTGAACAGGCCCTTATCACTCAAACTCCCATTGTTAGGAGGTCTAGTACACAAACAAGAATCAAAGTGATGGTGGGGATTCACGTCGTTTAATTCAAGGCTGAAAACCAGTTCCAGCCACTCAGAGGTTCTCCTCGGGATCTCAGGGAAGTGATTCTTGTGCTTTGAGCATGACTGTTTTGTAATGGGTCTTCCATTTTATAGATGTGCAGCAGAAATTGTGCCAATAGGTTCACCTACCTGGTTCGAGGAGTTGTGTGTTAGCTCCCGGGGATGGGGGCGGTGTTCTCAGTGACATGCTCTTCCTATCCTCAACTTGGTTCTTGGCACTCTCACCCGGTCTTGGGCATGAAACCCCCCACAGTAGCCATACTGGTGGATGGGGCTCTCTGTAGCTCCTGGGGAGTGCCAGCAACAGGGGGCCTCTGGGGAGTACCCCCAAAACAAGAGAGGAGGAGGGTGGGGGACTCTCTCGCTGCTGCTGCAGTAGACCAACCACCATCAAGACCCTAGGGGCATTGCTCATGGAGGCAAAGCTTGCTCTTCTGGCCCTGAGGCATGGCAACACTGGGCAGGGCTGGCAGGTGGCGAGGGCACCTAGAGAGGGGGGACGGTGAGGTGGGGGGAGCCCACCTACGCTTTGACCACGGCCGCCTCTACAAGGTCCCCCAGGGCACTGCTCTAAGACACCCCCCCCCCGCAGGGCTTCTGTTACGCTAGTGAGCCTGGGCCCTGAGCACCCTCTGGGGGAAGGGGGTGTGAGCCTTGGGCCCCAGCCAGACAGCCCTGCCCGGGGGTTACTGAGGTGACGGCAGGGGCCGGCAGTGGGGCCTCCTGTGTTCTAGCATAGGGAGTCTACTCAGTGTGCCACCTAGGTGCTGGGGCCCACCCTTCTGTCCTCTAGTGGCTTCACCTTCAGACTAAGGATTTTACCTCCCTTAATGACATGATATAAAGGAGCAATAGGGGATCCTCTGCCTATCACCCCTGCCCTGAGTGTTGAAGTGCTGAAAGCAGGGGCAAAGCTAGACTCTTTGTTGTCTCCTTTATTCAGGGGATGGGATGTCGCCCCCTCAGTCTTCAGTCAGGGTTCTCAAATTGAATCTTGGGAAGGCTGGTGGCTCCTCTCTACCTTTACCTGAAGACATCTCCTCAGAATGAGGCCACAACTCTCTGAGACCCACTAGAAAGAGTGAGGATAGCCATATTTGGCCACACCAGCCTGTGGTAGGCAAATCTGGACCTTGTGATGGTTCACCTCACTGGTCCTCACTCAGATTCCTCAGTTTGACTCTGAGATGGACTCATTCCTTCGTCTCTTGACCTATTACTGTCCTCATTTCTCTGTCACCCCGACAGGAATTGAGGGTTACCTTTGCTCTGCCTGACAGCTATCCAAATGTCTCCCAGGACTGACAGCAGGAGAGAGATTATGCACTGCCCCCATTGTTAACGGTTTTCATGCACTGCTCCATTTTCAGGGTCCTTACCCTTTACTCTGGCACAACCTAGAAATTGTCCCTATGCTGGCTTCAGACCACTGCCCTGAGTCCCCAGAAGTGGAAGTCAGGTAAGTTGCATCTAGTCACAGCTGTTTGGAGGTTTTGAGAGCTAATAGCAGGGGACAAAACTCTATGGTACTCTACTGCTGTGAGGTTGGTGACACCTATAATCCTCTCTGTTAAGATTCTACGATGCCTCCTTCTGACCAAAGTCCCCCCGGGGCTGGAAGCCAGTGGGTGACACATTTGAATACTCCTTCCTAGAGCTCCTCAGGTCTGAGAGGATGGTGAGACTGTTCCTCTCACTTTCTGGTTGGGTGTTTCCCCTAGTTTTCACTCTGGTCCTTTCTATGACCTGGAGGCCTGTTCTCTCAGACTAACTCCTATTAATTCCCTCCGACCACCTAGGATTGCCTTACGTGGCAAAACTTCCTGTGGTCACGTGGCTGACAGTAGGAGACGTATTCTGTGGCGTCTCCACTTTTATGATCTGGGTGGTTCCCTCTGTGCTTAGGGCCCTGTGCTTCATTTGTGGCATGACCTGGAATTTCTCCCTCTGCTAACCTGACGCTTCCTCTTTAGACCAAGTGCCTCACCTCCCTGAGATGGCCCTAGAAGGAAATGAGTGGGACTCATCATGCCCCCATTCCTGGCTTTACTGAGGGAAGACACCAGTGGCAGGGCTCTGTGTGGCCCCTTCTGTTCTGGTTGGGGTCCCCTTATCCTCCTTTAGAATGATCAACTTGACACCAGTTAGGAAGTAGGTTTCCTCCCTCTACTGAGTGAGGCTGCTCCCATTAGACAAAGGCCCTCTCCTCCGGGAGACCACTTCCTGTGGAAAGAGGGACACCTCAGCTGGGGAGCTTTGCCCTGGGCCTCCTAGGGCTGACAGCAAGGGTGGGACTCTGGGCATTCTCCTCGATTCTGGGGTGAGTGGTCCCCTTGCTCCTCATTCACGGTCCTCATCTTGACTCATGACCGGACCTGGGAATCTACCCTCCACTCCCCTAAAAAACCCGTACTCCTCAGACTAAGGCCTTTACTTGCCTGGAAGCTCCAGACTGGAAGTGTCAGGATGAATCCTGTCTGTCCAGGGCTGTTGGGATCTTCTGAAAGATGATAGTAGGGGCAGAATTTTGTGACATCCCACTCGTCTGGAGCTAGTAGCCCCTCAGTCCTTGCTCAGGTTTTTGACCTTGACTCTGGGTGGCATGTGGGGCTCCTTCCTCCACTAAGTCAGCCAGCCTTACACCGAGGTCGTCACCTTCCGGGGACACTGGAGGGAGAAGTCAGGCTGCGGTTCGCTGGCTTACCCCTGCCCGAGGCCTCTGTGTGCCCTGCTCTGTTACGGGGGTCCACTTACCAGCACTCATTGTCCTCACCTTAAATACAATGAAGGCCTATGAGGGTCTCGTACGTGGGCAGAATCAGAGCTGCTGCACAGGCCCAAGGACCTCACCTCCCTCTGAATTCACTTCCTCTGCTCCCCACCAGAGGAAATGAGGGGTGACCATAGCCACACAAGGCAGAAAGTAGGGTATGTGTTGTGGAGCCCCGACTGTTCTGGGATGGGCAGTTCCTCATTCCTCATTCAGGGTCCTCACCATGATACCTGTTGGGCGGGGCCCCCCCCCCCCCCCCCCCCCCCCCCCCCCCCCCGCCCACTGACCCGAGGACACAACCCTTAAACCATGGTTCTTATATCCCTGAGAACCTTGAAGAATGAGTTAGGGGATGCTCGGGCTGCAGCTCTACCTGAGGCCCTCTAGGTCTGAGAGTAGCTAAGGCATGGTCTCTCAGCACTCCCTGTATTCTGTGCCGTTGGTGCCTAGCCCCCCATTCATACAGGGTTCTCATTTTGTCTTCTGTCTCTTTGATGAAAGGCTGCTGGCAAATCCTCATCCCTGCAAACACTTGAGCAGGTTCCTGACCGCAAACCTTGCAGACACTGGGACACTGTCCCTAGGAAGATGTGAGATGGGGAAGCTGTGACACAAGGCCGGGGGCTGCCCGGGTGTTAAGCTGTCAGAGAGGATTCACCCTGATCTCTTCCTTCTCTGCGCCAGCTAGACAGCATCTTAGGCAGTTTCACTCCTGACAGATTTCCTTCCTACACAGAAAGGGCAGAGCAGGATAAATTGGAGAGCCCCCGATCTTTTCAGCTTATCTGATATTGCCTATATAGATGATCATATTGTCACTGAATATAATTTTTTTCTTTTCTTTCTTCACACATTTACTCAGCATTACTATTACTGCGGCTGTGTATTCCAAAACACTGCTTTGGGTCAGGGTTTTGTTTATCCCATGACATATATCTTGGAGTAATGAGAAGAAAAACGAAATAGAAGCTACAAGGTCTGGCTCAGGCTGGGAAGAAAGGAAGAGCATGGGTCTCTAGACTGATCCGGACCAATCCAGACCAGGGATCCAGTCCCAGTGAGGTCACTCACCACTCCTGTGAACTTGAGATATTTACAAGCCGTTTATCTGTAAGTGAACTTCGCTAAGCTCTATCCTATAGGAACGTTGGCATTTATGTACTATGTAAAGCACTTGGCATACTCATTAAGAAATATTGGGTCTGAATGAATGGCAGTTATTATTATGAACCCCCCAAAATACCACCCTCCCATTTAAGTTCATTTTTACTCCAGTAGATAGCAGAGAATATACAGTGCACAGGGACAAAAACAAATGTTCTAAAGCTAAAAAAAAATTAAAGTATCTTATATTTTTACTAAGACTAAAAGGAAAAGGCAAACCATGAATTAAACACCTTTTATTTTTTTTTAACTATTTTGTTCTCCATTATGTGTTCCTAACTCTTTTACTGTGTGGTTCTTCCACATTTCCATGAAAATCCCTATTGCAGTGCCATGTTACCTGCTTTTGGATCACGAATACAATGTAGATGGTTTGTGACTTTCTTTGTGATAGACACCAACACTGTAACTCTCATTTGTGAAACAGCGATAAATGAGAGCCATGTCATTCTTAAGTTTATATTCTAGAACTAAATGAGCTATTCCAAGAAAAAACTTTGGAAAACACCTAAATAAATATAACTGTGTATGTGTTTATAGAAGCTAGCCGTTTCGAACAAATAGGAAGAAGACCTGTGCTTTGTCCCCTCCAACCCCTAGGACTCTGCACGACCTGGAAGGTCGACTGCCCTCTTCCACCGCAAGGAAAAGCAGCCGCCCCAGCTGATTTGACTAGATGCGGCGCCGGCCACGGGCCGCTGCGCGCTCCTGCTGCTCTTGCAGCGCCTCCTCGTACAACGCGAGGAAGCTGCTGGGCACGGTGTCGTTGATCTTGGCCAGCACCTGCAGCACCTGCATCTTGCTGGTCTCCGCGCGGGCTCTCGGGCCCCACAGGAACTCGTGGCGCGGAGGGTCGCTGGCGGGCACCGCGCGGTACTCCAGGTAGCCCTGGTGCACCAGGTCTTGGGTGATGAGCTTCCGGGGCTCGCCGAAGATCAGGTGCCTCCTGCCCTCGTGCACGCCCAGCATGTTGAGGAACTCCCAGACCTCCTCCTCGGTGGCGCGGTTGCCCTTCATGAAGATCAGGCCCAGGAACGCCATCAGGAGGCCGGTCTTGGGCAGCCCTTTGTTGCCGCCGCCCAGGGTGCCATCGCTCGGGAGGGCCAGCTTGCTGACCAGGGTGTAGGACTGGCTGCGGGCGTCGACCTCCCTGAGCTCGAGCCCGAAGACCAGATCCATGCGCTCCGAGGCGAGCCTGAAGATCTCGGGGAAGTGCTCGCGGTACTTCCTGCTGACCATCTTCAGCATCGCGGCCCGCGTGATGGGCTCCCCGCTGCTGTGCTTCTCCAGCAGGAACTGCACCAGCAAGCTGGCCTTGCGGGTGAGGGGGTCTTTGCGGGCGGCCGGGGGGGCCGCGGGGGCGGCCGCGTTCTCGGCGCCCTGGTCACGTGGCGGGCCTGGAGGGCCCGCGCCAGGAGACCCAGGGGCCGGGGCGCCCTGGGGCTGCGGGGCGGGACCCGCCTCGGGGGAGCCCGGGGGCATTGCTCCCGCGTCGGGTGGGGGGCAGCGGGGGGGCTCCTCTGCTGCGGCGGCTGGTGCTGCCGCAGCAGGAGCACCCCCGACACTCTGAGCCTCAGCACGGCCCTGGTGGCGTTTCTCCCGGGCAGGAACCTTGCTCTTCTGGCCCCGAGGCATGGCGACACTGGGCAGGGCTGGTAGGTGGCGAGGGCACCTGGAGAGGGGGACGGTGAGGTGGGGGAGCCCCTTCAGCGGAGAGATCCCGCCCTGGCTTTGACCACGGCCGCCCCTGCAGGGTCCCCCAGGGCACTGCTCTAGGACCCCCACAGGCCTCTCTTTACCCTGGTCAGCCTGGGCCCTGAGCACCCGGTGGAGGAAGGGGGTGTGAGCCTCGAGTCCCCAGGCAGACAGCCCTGCCCCGGGGTTACTGGGGTGACGCCAGTGTTCCTGACAGGGAAGATCCCAGTGTCCGGGTGGGGGGTCCTCGCAGTTCACATTCAAGATCGTCCTGTTAATAACTGTTGGCAAGACCCGCGCCCCCACCCCCCTCCCCTGCTCTGAAGGAGACGCTGTGATCTTCCAGGGTACCCTGGAGGAGGAAAGCAGGGAGCACTTCAGCCCACCCCTCGAGTCCGGGGGCACCTACTGATGAACACTTATGGGAGGGCCTCTCTGCCCAGAGTTCGTGGGGTCCTCAGAGTGATGCAGAATCCCCACTTGGACTCCGTGTAGGACCTGGGACCCTCCCTTCCTCTGACTGGGGCTGCACCTGCAGATCAAAGCTCTAACCTGCCTGAGACCTGATAGGAGAAATGATGGGATGTGTCAGCCTGACATTCCTTTCTTGGGATCTTAAGGGTCCGCAGGAGGGGACAGGCCATATTGTCTCTGGTCCCCCTCCCTTCAGGGGGGTGGTTCCCCCGGTCCTCACCCAGGGTCCTCCCTTGACTGCTGGCAGAGCCCGGAGCTGCTGTCTCTTGCCCTGCGGCTGGCCACTCACGCTAATGGCAGCAGGGCCTGGAGACTCCTTAGGAGCCTGACAGTCCTCAGCCTGAGTCCGGCAGGACCTGGAAATCCTCCCTCAGCTCACCTGCTGCCAGCCCCTTAGACCAAGGCCCCTACCTCTCCGAGTCTCCGCAGCACAACGTGAGGGAGCACCTCAGTCCTCAGAGCCGCCCAGACCCTCCCAGGCCAAGGCCAGGAGCGGGGACCCTGCGTGGCCCCTGTTCTGGGGTAGGGAGTCTCCCCAGTCCTCACGAAGGACCTCTCCTTCCCGCCAGTCGGCCTGGGATCTCTGCCTGTGCTGAGCCGAGCCAGAGTCCCGCATCCCCCGGCCAAGGCCTGCGATCCCCGAGACCCCGCGAGGTAAGTGAAGGGCCTTGGGGCTTAACGGCCATATTGGGGCCTCCGAGCCGCGAGTGCAGGGGCGGAGCGGGACAGGGTCTGTTGGGCCCCTCTTTCCAGGGGAGATGGGGCTGGGGGGCTGTCGGGGGCTGTCGGGGGCTTGTCCCCACGGTTGTAACCCGGGACTCCTGGGACGTCGACCCCTAACCGCCCGTGGGACCGCTGTCTGTGCTCACCCCAGGCAGGAGCTGTCCGACCAGGCCCCAGCGCCCACGGCGTGGTTAGGAGGACGTTCTCGAGGGCCACGGGTCCACTTCCGGTCATGTGGGTCTGGGCCCCCAGGAGGACCCTGGAGGGTGGGGGTGGGCTCTGTGGGCGGGGTGGGGGGTGGGGGGGGTAGTGTGTGCTGTGCTGGATTGTAGGGGAGGCTGCCGCTGGATTAGCGAGGGTGTTGTCACTGCCTCTCAGCAGGTTGTGTGAATTCTCCCTCTGCTCTGCTGAGTGTGCTGGCCTCAGACCAAGGGTCTCATTTCGTTCCCAACCTCCAGTAGGAAGTATTCGGGGGTGTGAGCTTAGGTGCCATGGCTGGGGCTTCCCTAATCTGACAGCAGGTGTTTGCTTTTGGGGGGACCTGTGCACTTTGGTGGGGACTCAACTCCCTCAGTCGTCTCTCAGTGTGTTTCTTTGATCCCGTGTGGGTGCTGGGCAAACTCGTTCTGCTGATTTGAGGTCAATGCCTCAGATAAATGCTATCAGCTCCCTGTGACTCCTGATGTGACCTGAAGGTATACCTTTTTGGGCTACTCCTGCCTAAGGTCTTCCAGAGATGGCTTCAGGAAAATGAGAATCCTCTGGGGTCTAGGGTTCTGGGGTAGGGATCTTGCACTGAGTTCTTTACAGTCCTAGAGTTCCTCCCTTTTGTAAATGCAACCTCTTCCCCCCGCCTCCGGCCCCACCATGGTCCTCAAGAACCCTATGGAGAAACTGAGGTACTTCTTATTCTGATAGCTTACCCTGGAGCCTCTCCTGGCTGACATCACTGTCATTTCTGAAAGTTTCTGGGATAAGTTTTTTGCCCTATGCATAATTGCTATGATACTTGCTATTCTATTTCAAGATTTATGTTTTTGACATATAAAAATTTTATGGACACACATACGGTGTGATGTTTTCCTGTATGTATACATTGTGAAATGATTATCACAAACTATTCAACCTATCACCTTCCATAGTTACCATTTTCATGTGTGTTGTAAGAAATCCTGCTATTTTCAACAACATGGATGAATGAGGAGGACATTATGCTAAGTGAAACTGGCCAGACCCAGAAAGACAAATATTATATGATCTTATTACATGTGATATCTATAGAGGAAACAGAGACATAACTCACAGTAACAGAGGAGAATGGTGGTTACCAGAGGCGGGGGCGGGGGTGACAGAAGAGGGGGAGATACTGATGATAGGGTACAGTCTTTCAGGTATGAGTAAGTTCTGGAAACCTGTACAGCACATTGACTATAGTTAATAATAATGTATTATTTACCTGAAATTTGCTAAGAGACTAGATCCTATGTGTTCTTTCTATTCTGTTTTTATTCATGCCTTACAATCTATTAAGATGACTATAAAAATTAACAGCCCAGTCCTCACCAACAAAAGAAATTTCAGCTAGTTATTAGGACTCATTGACTCAGACCCACCTCAAGCAATCCAGACTTTGGTCCTGCCCTGATATTACCCTGTAGTCCTGGCACATGGGCCCTGAGGAGCTGCCTTCAGTGAAGTAGCAGAAATCGACTATCCCAGGGCATGCCTGAAAAATCAAGGCTAAACCTAAAGCCTTTCCAACCACCAATGCTGTCTTCTACAGTCCTGTCTCAACTTCAGGGCCTGCCCGCACACAAGTCCTAGTTCAGTGCACACCTAGTGCCCCTCAGGTGTTTCGCAGTATCATTGTTGTTGATACTGTTTTGTTTATTCCTTTAGTTTTTCCAAGCGTTGATTCTGGGCACAGGGAACAGCAGCCTGCGATCAGTGTTCATCTTCGAAGCTACAAGTAAGGCTCTGAACCTTTAAATAATTTAACAGTTTATATCTTTACAATATTCTCTTCCCCTGAATAAACATATTTTACAGCTCCATCTGGGACATTTCTCTGTCAGTAAATTTTTTAGTTGCCTCCATAAAGATCTGCGGTTGTGTGAGGTTTCATTTTAGGTACATTTTAGATACTGTTGCTGTTGTAAATGGTACATCGTCCATATGTGTTCTAATTCGGTATTGATTTTGTGTGACCAGGCATCAGATTTTACTACAGGGACTTTCTATATACTAGCAATTTGACGATCCTTATATATTTGAATGTTGTGTTTGCTTATTACTTGAGATATTTTAGTTATGAGATTAGTCCTGTTGTTATGTTTCTCTGTATTATCCATACCTCTTTTTTTTATTCTTGTGCATGGCTGTGCCCTGCTGTACATTCACATCCAAGTTTGTGGGACCGTAATTCTGTGTTTTTCCAAACTTCATTGGGAATGCTTCTAATATTTCACATTTATGTATATTTGCTGATGCTTTTACGATATGGAAATTCCATTCTTAAAAATTTGCTAAAAGTTATTACCATGAAATGGTGTGGAATGTCTGTCAGCAGCTTTTTGTTTACCCCTACATGTTGTCAGATGCTTTTCCTCCCCTTAGTGTAGTGAATTCTGATTCATATTTTCTAAATTGATACCATCTTTGCATTCCTCTGATGCAACTTACGTCTTTATTGGCCCCTGTATTGCATATGCTATGGAGTTGTTTATGTTATTTGTCTGAGTAGGAGTGAGCCCAGGTGAAGTGCTCTTTTTTTTTCAGGGTATCTTTATTTGGTCTTTGTATCAAGGAGAGCTAAGGTGTTAGAGTGGGTGAGTCATTTCCCTTCTTTTTGTATGGTTTGAAAGAGTTTATGTAGAAGTTTTGTTCGTTTCTCCTTCACCATTTGGTGTAAGGAGACCAAATTTGGCTGGTCCGGGAACATTTTGAGGGCACCTTGTGTTTTACCTACAATTTTAGTTTTTATGGCTAAAATAAGTTTTCTATTTCTATATGAACCTATTTAATCATTTCTATTTTGCTGAAAAATAGTCCATTTCTCTTGGATTTTTAAATTTAAAGGCATGCTATTTAAAATAAAATCACATTATCATTGAAATTCTCAAACATGTACAACACTGTACAGAGAACAGAATATTGAACCCCGTGTCCGTGGCACTCAGCATCAACAATACTCAGCAGTAACAGGAAGAAGCTTAATCAGATCACACTTTGTTTATTGGTAACACTACTCCAGAGGGGCCACTGTGCACTTACATTAGCAGATACATAATGTTTGGGATCCCCTTTTTGGTGGTGTTAGCAATCACTGAGGATCATCACCCTCATCCATTAATCCATTAGGGGCTGCCGAATGGTAATTCTTTCATTCCTTTGTTTCTATTAGCTAAAATAATTCTCTAGGTAGACCCTTTTCCTTATCTACCATTTGTTACCCTGACAGAATGGTGAAAGTATTTATAGTGTTAATTACAGCCTGTAAATCTCTTCTACATGTACACTTTGTAGAATTTTATTTAATATCACTTGTTTCTGCTTCTTTCTTTTGTAACTGGTAAGACCTACAGAAGGTGTTACAGAAATGTTTGCAAAGAACTGACTTTCATTAGTTGGCTCTGCTGTCATCTAATTCATCATTTCTGCATTTGTCTTCATTATTTCTGCCGTCTAATTATCTGGGTGTAATATGCTGCTGTTTTGGTAACTCTTGAATCATTGGGATGCTT